AAAATGTGGCAGCCAGTCCCTCACCTGCCTGCAGCTCTCAGCTGGCAAAGCTCTGCAGCAGGGCTGGGCCTGAGCAGAGAGGAGCATCAACCAGCTCACCAGCTGAGAAATGCACACAGTGACTTCTCCGTCCTCCCCTCACCCCTTTCCTGAGGTAGAGACAATCAGTGTCTTTAAATCCTTCCCTTAAAGCATGGAATCGTGAGGATGGACATCTGTCTGCCAAAGCAGGCATCTGCTTTTCCTAACCCCCATCCAGGGGGTAGGTTTTCTCCCAGGGATCAGCTGTCCCTGCCTGCTGCACGTCTGGCGCTTCTACAGACCTTGCTTTTCGGGCCCCCTGTGCCCCCACCTTTTGCAGGCACCCCATGCTCCCTGCCTTCCCTTCCCATCCTTATCCACGGGGGTTCCTCCAGGGACAGGCTCAGCCAGGGCCGCCAGGATATCTCGGGCGCTGCGTATTATTGGCTTCCCTCCATGTCTATCAAGTGAGGAGACAGAAAAGCTTCTCCCCTGTCCTGCCCATCGCCCGGGGGGGGCTCCAGGGCAGGCCCCCTGTGCGTCCCCCACTGCTCCCGCTGCGGGGTGGGAGGCAGAGAACCCCAATGCCCCCCCCTACTCCGTGGAGCCGCTGCCCCACTCACCATCTCGTTGTAGGCATCTCTGCTGAGCCGAGGGGTCAGTTTGATGGTCCCCATAAAGACGAAGAAGAGCCCCAGGGCCACCGAGAGGGCAACGATGGTGATAGTCCTGGGAGATGCCATGGAGCCGCAGGGATCTGCTCCTAGCGAGGCCTTGTGGCTCTGGCTGCCAGCCCGGGTGGGAGGGAGTCCGTCACCATTGAAGGCTGTAGGGATAAAGCTGCAGAGGCAGGAGGATGACAGCGGGAGGGAATTCAGCCTCCTCCACTCGGCAACCCCTGGGTCCTAATGCCCCGCAGCCGGAGCCAGGCAGCTCCGGCACCTGGAGCGCTCCTGCCAGCAAGTCACCCTGTTTCTTTGCGCGTTCCGTAAATCGCCCACAGAAAGCCGAAAATGAGCCACTTCCAGGGATGTGGGACTGCAGCCAAAGGCAGAGCACAGTTGCTCACTAGTGGGAAAACAAGGAGGTGTTAGGAGAGGGCACAGGAGTGATGTGCTGTGGAGGAAAAGCATCCAGGGGTCTCTTGTACACAGACAGCTTTCAGTTCCAGGTATCCAGATGCTCATTAACAGCAAACAACATATTGCTTCATGTATTTGCACCAGGAAAGCAAAAGAGATGTCTTGTCCCTGTGGTTCTCCCAGAACCAGATGCCCAAAAGGGAAGGTGAGGCCACCTGTGTCACCCACAGGTGGCCTCACCCACTGCAGATAAAATCTGTCCTGTATATGTTCAGCTCTCCAGAGGCAAGCACAAAGGTTTTCTGATCCTCTGTTACCTTCTGATTTAAAGTCATTCTCTCTCTCCTGCAATTTGCAACAAATTTCCTTTTGACCAAAGCACAGCCGGGCTAAGCAGAAATCTATTCAGATCTTGCAGCAAGAAACCAAGGTATAATTATACAAAACAGAACTGCAGGAATGCTGCATCCTTTGGTATAAAACAAAAATGAGGCTGTAACACTGCAAAAAAATCTTAACACTCCTGGGACACTGGTGTAGTAAGTCTCAAGTCCTAAATGCATCTATTTTAAACCCCCGTGGCTTGAGAAGTGGTGGTTGTTATCATTCCAAGCTCAGGTTTCATTAAGATTGGAAATAAAGTCTGAAAAATACAGGCAGCTCTCCCCCTGTTTCCTTAGGAGTTCATCATGCTTGATTCAAAACTTCATGGGATTTACAAACCACAAGGGAACTGCTCACTCACACCTCCCTCCCTGTTACAGCAGCTCCATCTCTGGAAGAGCTGGAGAGACCTTCACAGGACACTGTGCTTCACAGTGAGCAGGGCAGGACAGGTACAAAACACAAGAAATCTTTTTAATTAGCTATTGCAGAACATCCTGAGGAGGAAAAATGTTACTGCTGACGTTTTCACAGGGCACTTCATATTTAGGTACAGGTTAGTGGAGAAGAGGGAGGCAGCTGTGAAAGGAGAGACACTGAAATCTGTTCTCTTTTCATTTTGTTTTACAGAAAAATCTCATTGCCTCCAACTTATCCACGTGACTGACAGACAGTCTGTCCAAAGAGAGGGAGAGGGAAAGGTTTTTCACTGTGGTCCAGGTACTTGGCTGGGAGCAAAGTCCAACCTGGGACACTTGCCTGGGGCTCCAGCAATTTTCCACCACTCAGGGTACAGTTTGCAGCTTGAACACCAAGATGGGCATGCTCCTCAACACAGGGAGAGTGTATTTTCCAGGCTGCTTTAACCAGCAGCCCAAGAACAGCTTTGCAGGGGAAGGAAGGGTGATGAAACACTACAGAGAACCTTTTCACCCCAGAAATCCAAGTGGTTCCTTAAAGAAGAGTGTTGCTAGGCAACCCAAAGTAGGAGAAAAAGCAAAATTATTTATTTTTTTATACAAGCCATCCAGAAAATAAGTTAAAATCCTAACTCCACTGACTCGAGTCTCCAGGGCAGGAGGAGGTTGCTTCCCAAGCCCTCAGAGCCGCCCTACCTGCCTGCCTGTCAGCGGGTGAACAGCAGCACCAGCTCACAGTGAACAGTATGAGGGAACAGGTCAAAAGGAACTGCCAACACGGGGGCAAATGGCTCTCCTGTCAGCTTCTTCCGTGGGTCAGGGGGGCAGCACAGCCTGTGGAAAGCAAAGAGCAACTTTTAGAGCAGTAGCAGAACCCTCCCCACCATTCCTGGCAGCGCAATAGCACAGAAGACCCACAGAGGAGGTATGGTTTGTTTGGCTAGTGGCCCTCAGAGTCTGCAGCTGACACTGGCTGAGGTGTGGAACCACCAAAACTGAATCCCAAATCAGCTCTGAAAACCTCAGGGACAAGCTGAGCAGTCAGTGGCAAGTTTAAAGCTCCCTTTCTCACAAGCCATCCCAGCCGATAGACAGTTAATACCCTTAGGAAGCAATTTCCAGTTTTGCACTACCTTCATGGTCACCAGCAGACAGATTTATCACCTGCAAATGGGCCTACCCCAGATAAAGCCCCATGATTAACCCTCAGCAGGTGACTAATCCCCTTGGCTTTACTTTGTTGGCTAGGGGTCAACCTTCCTGCAGTGAACCCAGTGGATTCTGTATCCCACATCCAGATTTTCTCTTTTGTTTGGGAAGGTTGCACAATGCCATTATAACATGTTGGCACTGTTTTCTACTCCTCTCTGATGCAACAAGGCATCCTGATGGTACACAAAACCCAAAGAATACCCCCCTACCTTAAACCATCGAGTGCAGCTTGCAGGGAAACCCAAAGTAACACAGAGGCATAAACCCCTCCTGCCCATGCACTTACTCCTGCATCTCCCCTGCAGAACCCACCCAGAGAAATTTAATCACAACAAACACTCCCCAAGCCTTGTCTGGACATAATAGGGTCTGTCACTAAGGTCAGTGGAGGGGAGGAGAGTGCTCACTCCAGAAAGTTCCTCATGGCTTCGCCCTCCGGCTTGCAGGAGATGTAGAGCAGCCTGCGGATGGACACGCAATTCCGGATGGCCCGCACGACCCTGTAATCTGCAAAAACACACCCTGCTTTCCCAGTGGCCCAGGAGGAATGACTGCACACAGAGCCTCACAGAACTGCCCTGAACTGCTGAAAATACAGGGGGAAAAACAATAGGTATTGTGCCATTTTCTCAGCCCCATGCTGCTGACAGCTTAGCACATTAGGCAGGGTAGAGCAGCGGGAGAAATCCCTCTGCTTCCCAGGAGGGATGAAGGATGAGAGGAAAACTGTTACTAAATTAAGATGAAAATATAAAGAACAAATAGCACATTCTCTCACGTAGCCCAGCCCGAGATGGGTTCACCACAGCGACGAGCGGCCGGGCGTCCTCCCACGACGCCAGGAGTTGTGGCAACACGGCCTCTGCCTTCCCACTGTGAAACTCACAGTTTGAGATCCCTGTGAAGCAAACAGAACAAGAGTCCCACCAAGTGTTAGGCATAACATGAACCACCTTTTGGTGTGTTAGGGTCCCCCCTGCTCACTTCTGCTTCCTATTTTTCAGCAGTCGGCTCGAAACGTTCTGCCGCGGCGAGTGTGAACTCACCGTTGAACGCCGCGTTCCACCTGGCATCCTCTATTGCCTTCTCCACCACCTCCACACCGATAACCTTGGACACCTGGCGAGCCAGGGAGAGACCAATTGTGCCTGGAAACACGGGACACAAAAATATGCTGTGCATTCGTGCTGAAGGAACAGGCCTCGACGCACCAAGGATCAGTTCTGTCACCAGCAAAGCACCAGCCCTGGGAGCCAGTCCCACACTACCTACCTGTCCCACAGCAGATGTCGAGGAGGACAGTGTCCCCTGAAGCCTGACAGAGCTTCCCAACTGCCTGGTACAGAACTTCTGCTCCAGCCATGTTCACTTGGAAAAAGGCATCTGGAGAGATGCGAAACTTGAGGCCGCACAGTTCTTCGAAGATGTGAGGCTCCCCCTGGAGCAGCTGGTAGGGAGACTGCTCGTGGGAGCAGCGTGTCATGGTGCTGGCAGACCACACAAAAACCAGCTCTCAGAAAGCAGCAGAGAGCTGGTTGCCATTCCCAGGGTGCTCATGGGCAGGGGAGGATGGTTTTCTCTCCCCGCAACTTCTACTTTGTGCGAGCCTCTCAACAACATCAAAGAAATTTTGATTCTTTGTAAGGGATCTGTGACTTGCACAGCCTAGATTTCATTAAAAGGATCAAAATGACCTAAGAGAAGGCAGCAGACCTCGGGTCTGTTCCCCAGTTTTGCTGCTAATGTGATTTACTGTCCTGGAAAAGTCACTGTGGCCTTTTTCTTTAGTTTGCCAGGCTCGTAACTCCCATGAGGTCGAGCTACAGTGTGTTCAACTATGACGGGTTTGGGAAAAAAAAAAAGATGGGGCCGTTTTAAAGCCACATCTTTATGAGGGATCCAAACGTGTCTTTCTCTTCAAGCACTCCTAGAACTGATAGAATTTGAATTTGATCAGAGAAGGGGGAGAAAAAGGAGGTGTCTTTGTTTCCACTCATTCCCTGTGCCAAGGCATATACCTCTCTTGGAAATAAAGTGAAGTCAAGGCACAGACTGCCCCAGGTCCACACGTGAAGAACTCCTTGAGCAGCGCTTTCTGAGCAGCCAGGGCCTCCTGTTAGGAGCAAGAAAAGAAAACCTGCTGTTTGGGTAACCTGATTAGCCACCTCTCCCCAGGGGTACACCCAGCAGGCTCAGATGAGCCAGATACCTGCTGTGCCCCTTGCCAGGGGCCCTGTCCTGCACACACTCACCTGGCCCAGCTCCTGGGGGTGGAAGGTGACGATGGCCATGGTGTGGCCACGGCTGGTGGTCCGAACCACGAGCTCCCGCCAGTGCCCGCCCGTGTGGAAGAGGATGCAGGAATCCAGGGGGGAAGCACAGATGAACTCTTCATAGCACTGAGGGGAGGGGAAACAGCACTGGTAGCACCACAAAGACAACTGCCCCGCTCTTAAACCCCCCCAGACAGGCAGCCCCTCAGCCAGTGTGATCTGGCTTCCCTGTTCATTTTCAGCAGACTAGGTGAAAGCTCTTTACAGACTCTTGAAAGACAAGACATTTTAATAATTTCAGTTTTCTTCTGTGGTTTAATAGATTGGCAGGAATTCGCTGTCATTTGATTAATTTCATTCTTTGGGACAGTTTAACATTAACATGCAAGTTTTAAAAAAAATATTTATCCATCAACCAGAGTCAGGCATGAAACTTTTCAGACTGTGAAAATGAACTTGAAAACACAGAGTTAACTAAAATTACAATGTTTTCCCACATAAGAGTAGTTGCAGTCCTTCTATTCCACAGTCTAGGAACAGACACGACTTATTTATTTACCTGGGCTACTTGTTTGTGTTTTGGGGGCATGTTCTCCAGGTGGTTGGCTTTCACACAGACAATATTTCTTGCTGGAGAGAGATGGACAGGTGTTTAATTGTTCTGTTTCAGGAAACCACTATACCATCTAAATATGATAAACTGTGGAGAGGCCTTTCCCCTGAATTCTCCCATGGTACAAATTTTTAAAAAAAGGAGAAAACAGAAAAAATTTGGTATCCAAGTGCCCCTTGCAAGGCACACACTGCTCACATCTTCACTGCACAACACCAAACTGCCCCATGCACTCCAAATGCTCCAACACTGCTCTGCTGCCTATGGAAGTGCACAACCCCCATGTTCTTCCTGCTCAGCACAGGCTCCTGGAGCACACCAAAAACATGGGAACTGAGCATAATTGAGAACAATAAAGCCAAATCCTGAAGGGGCTGCAACCCCACCCCTTGTCCTTCCTGCTGTATTTTGCAAATTAGGAGCTGGTATTTCTTAAGAAGCTAATAAACTGGGGTGATAAAATTGCTGCCTGGTTTTGTGGTTGGCATCCCCCAGGATTCAGGCTTCTAACTTGAGAGCAGGCTGTCAAGCAGAGCTTTTGCCTGCAGTTTTCTACTGAGTTTCTTGTCCTGCACTGACCTTTGCCAGTTCCCACATACAACCCCACAGTTTTGGGGTTCCCATCCGGTCCTCGGTTCACAGAGAAAGTAGATTTGTTTCGGTAGCCGTTAATGATGGGCTGAGGGAGAAAAGAAGGAAAAATAAAGCCTCAGATTAAAAGCAATGGAGGAAAGCCAGAACCCTGCCTGGTTGTTCTGTTGGCAACATGGGAAGATATATGTGAATGTGCACAACAAAGAAATGGAGCTCGTGCACCAGAACCCCAGTACTTTCCCTGGGGAGGAAGAAATGGCTCTCTGTGACAGAAAGGTGTCAGGTTTATCAGGGAAGCCCTGGACACACACAAAAAAAGGGTTCCTAAGCACTGGGCTTATTTCACTCTGGGACAGTCACAGGGTGCAGAGCAGAAGACAGCAAGGACTGCCACAGGCACATTCTCTGCAAGCAAATAATGCCCACCACGAGGCTCTTCAGTTGTTGAGTGAGAAGCTGCGAGTGGCTCAGAGGGTAGAGCACTCCCACAGGATACTCACTGAAGGGACCACAGGCTGGAGAGGACAGCAGAGCCCACCAGGTTTCTGTGCATCTATGCCCAGCTCCTCAAGACGAGATGCCAGTGTCTGCAAAACCTTCCTCTGGCTTTCATACTTCACCTGCAGAGGAGTTCTAAGCCAGAAACACTCTCAGAGGACCCCATGATGGTGGGCAGCTCCTCATCACCCACCTCTGGGAAGCCCAGCAGGAAGAAACACTGCAAGTGGAAATACAGCCCTGCAGGGACTCTGCCCTTTTCATCACCAAAGCTGCTTGGGGCAACAGGATGAACCATAGGGAATCTCCCAGTTCTATCCTTCACCATAACTGAAGGATTAAAGCAGCAGCAAATGGGGTCTGAAGAGTTTACAGCATTAAGACGATGAGGGCTATTGCTTAAGGGGATAGGAGGGGCAGTTGGGGCAGCACAGCCAAGAAAAATCCGTGTAAACACATCTTACCTGCAGCTGCTCTTGGTAGGGAAGTCTCCACAGTGGAGTCACTGCGTTTGCTAACCTGGAAAGCACAACATCGTGGCAGTGACCTATGGCATAACATCCCTGACAGCTTCTTCACGGGCAGGACTGCTCTGGTGCCAGGGCTGGTTGCGAACACCCAAACTCCCGGTGAACCACAGAGAAATGCACAGTTTGTGTGGAGCAGGCAGGGAATTTCAAGCTGTCCACCTTCACTGGCCCACATTTTGGGAAAGCCGTACCTGTCCTCCCAGGACGGTTCTGGCGGGCTGCATCCCTCCCTGGCCTTTTTCTTCCCTTTCCCCGTTGTCGCTGTCGCCAGGCTGCGCTCCCAGAGCGGCGGCGATCGGAGGTGCCAGCGCGGGGGTCTCAACAGGCAGCACAGAGCCATGGTGGGGGGCGAGGGGCCTCACCCGCCTGCCGGTGGGACACGGGTGGGACAGTGCCCGTGTCACAGCAACCACGTGGCTGCGCGGAGCTCGCTCGGGACGCGCGGAAAGCGGAGTGTCCCGTGGGATGCTCAGGGCCGGGGAGGCAGCGGGAGGGATGTCTGGCTGAACCTGTCACCTCAGGGGCGAGGTGGGTGCGGGTGGGTGCGTGTGCTCTCACGTGCAGGGATGTCAGGACAGCGGGGACAGCCCCTCTCCCAGGCCGTGCCTCCAGCAGATGGCCATGGAAAAGCAGGAAGCAGGGCAGCACACGTGATCTCCGCACATGCCCGCTTAACTCTCCCGGGCAGCGAGTATTTTCAGCGCTGCTGGGGGTTTCCAGAGTCAGGCGTGGTTTATCTGGTTTGGGACCCCAAGAGTTCTTTTATCTCTTTGACCTCACCTAAAATTCCTGCACCCACACATCCTTCGGCCAGGAGGCTCACTCAACCACCTGGTACCATTTGGGTCAACCTTTCTTGTTTGAACCTGGCTGCTGCGGCCCCATCCGGGGGCTTCAGAGCCCGTCGCCATCCTGGTCCCCACCTCGAACCCGGTCTCAGTACCTGTCCCCGTCCCGATCCCGATCCCGAGGCGGCGGAGCCGGGGCAGGAGTGCGGGTCCGCCAGGCCGCCAGGGGGCGCAATCGCCGCTCAGCCCAGCTGCTCACCCGGGGCGGGGCCCACAGATAGAACCTCAATGGGCTCGGCCCTCCTTGACCGCGCCTCCTTGTGGGCGGGGCCACCCCCTCGCGCTGTCTGCGGTGGCCGCGCCCCCTCCCCGCCCCTGTCACGCGGGCGCGGCGCGGGCGCTGATTGGGCGCTGGGCGGGGCGGGGCGGGGTCAGTGCAGCAGCAGAGCGGGCGATGCTGGCGGCGGGCGGCGGCTCCGGCCCCGCCGGGCCGGGCGGCTCCGGGACGGGGCTCGGCGGCGACGGCGACTTCCTCTCTCGGTACCGGCTGGTGTCGGCCAAGCTGCGGCGGCGATTCCTGCGAAAGCCCAACGTGGCGGAGGCGGCGGAGCAGTTCGCGGCGCTGGCGCGGGAGCTGCGCGCCCAGGAGAGCCTGCCCTACGCCGCCTGGTGCCAGCTGGCCGTGGCGCGCTGCGCGCAGAGCCTGTTCCACGGCCCCGCCGAGGCGGCCGCGCTGGCCGAGGCCGCGCGGCTCTTCCTGCGGCAGGAGCGGGACCTGCGGCAGCGCCTGGGGCTGCGCGGCGGCTTCGGCGAGCACGTGTCGGCGGCGCAGAGCTGCGGGGCCTTCGCCGCCCGCCTGCACCTGGAGCGCGGGCAGCCCGCGCTGGCGGCCGGGCCGTGCCTGGAGCTGGCGGCCGCGCTCCGCGACACGGGCCAGCCCGCCCGCGCCGCCGCTCCCCTGCAGCGGGCCGCAGAGCTGCTGGGGGCCGCCCGGCTGCCGCTGCAGGCACTGCGCTGCCTGGACGAGCGGGCGTCCTGCCTGCTGCTCGCCCGCGACTACGCCGGGGCCTTGGCGGCGCTGACGCGAGCGCAGGCGCTGGCCGGGGCCGGGCTCGGCGGGGCGGGGGCCGGGGCGGCTCCCGGAGGTGCCTTTCTGGACGTGCTGGCGCGCTGCGAGGTGTCGCGGGTGCTGCTGCTGCTGCTCCTGCAGCCGCCACCGGCCAAGCTGCTGCCCGAGCACGCCCGCACGCTGGAGCAGTACTGCTGGGAGGCGCCCGACGGCGGGGCCAGCACCACCGGCGGCGCGGGCGGCCCCGGGGCGGGCGGGCTGCCGCCGGCCGCCAGCTACCTGCAGGCAGAGCTGTTCCTGCTGCTGCAGTCGGCCGTGCTGGCGTGCCAGGAGAAGGACGTGGAGGCGCTGAAGGCGCTGCAGGCGGAGCTGTGGCCGCTGCTGAGCGCCGAGCAGAACCACCTGCTCCACCTGGTGCTGCAGGAGATGCTGAGCCCTGCCGGGCAGGGGCTCTGAGCGCCGGCAGGGACCGCTCGGACTGGTCGCTTCAAACACAGACTCTGTCCCGCTATTTATTTTTAATACCGGCGCTGTAACACAATCAAGCCATGGCTGATGAACGGATGTGTTCACCTTTTGTCATAGTAAACTGCTCACTGTATGTACTGGATGTTGTCCTGCTTGGAAAAAGTGTCATCTCGAAGCGGAAGGACTGGTTAGGGGCAGAACAAGGCTGTGCATTAAAGGACTGGGTGCAGTTTATGTGTGTTGGAGGATTTGGGCATCTGGGGATCAAACGTTGCTGGAGTTGTGTTTTAAAGAAAACAAACAAAAAAACCCCTGCAAATCACAAACGAACAAAAAACTAACAAACCCACAAAAACTAAAAGGAGAATTAATTTTTTCCCCTCCTGAAAACAAACAGATGCTGCAGCCAACACGAGGCTGTGCATTTTGTGGTGGGTGAAGGTCACCAACAAGGGGGTTCAGGAGGGATGGATGTGCTTCAAGCAGGAAGTTTTGAGAGCACAGGAACAGGCTGTACTGGTGTGCTGAAAGGCAAGCCGGCGGGGAAGACAACCAGCTTGGTTAAACAGGGGGATTCTGAAGGAAATCAGGGATAAAAAGAGAGTTTACCAACTATGGAAGAAAGGGCTGACTACTTACGAAGAATTCAGGAAGACAGCTAGATAATGCAGAAAGAAAATCAGGGATGCAAAAGCGCAATTTGAAGTTAAATTGGCTGCTTCTGTTAAGGATAACAAAAAGTCCTTCTATAAATACATTAATAACAGAAGGAGGGGCAAAGAAAACCTCCATTCTTTGATGGACTTGGAGGGAAACATAGTTAATAGAGATGAGGAGAAGGCTGAGGTACTTAACACCTACTTTGCCTCAGTTTTTACCAGTAAGACAGGTGGCCCTCAAGGCAACTGGCCTC